ATGAAGATTCTTGCCTTGCCAGCTATTTTTGGTATTGATTTTTAAGCTAGGACTAGGTATGTGATACAATAGCAGACTTAGAAGTTGGCCTGGGAGCTACATATATCAGGTTATTGATGCTAACTGTCTCTCATGTTTGCTCTAAGGAAGCATTCAAATCATTGGTAATTTTACCTTGGTACAAAGTGGTGTGGTTCCCTGCTCTTTAAAAAATGAGAGAATCATATTTTGTGCTTTTTTCATTGAAAAAATACACATATTTTGATTCACATTGCCTGTATTGTGTTAAAATATCTTTCTCTGAATAATGTATACTAAATACAATTTTCAGTAAAAGCTAAAATGATATTCCTGCAATAGATTCTGTACGGGAAAAGAGCTTACATTCTAGCAAAGCCTTGTCTTAGCCTAAAAAAATGGTTGTTTTTCAAACAGAGTACATCCATTCAGACTGATTTAACATGACCAAAACTGACTCATATTAAAACATATGCTAGTATGCCTAAGATTGTATTTGTTGTCACTTTGGCTACAAAATGTCCTTCATTTACAAGCGCCAAAGGTGTCTGCAGATGGTCAGAAGGATTTTTTTCTTTCACTCCAGCTGCCTGATACCATAGCTGTTCTCACTGAGATTGCGTGAATGCTTCTTTGCTCCCAGGTTCCCTTTGAGAAGGCACCCGGAGCGCTGGACAGATTAATTCACTCAAGAATCTGCCCCAGAAAGACTATCAGCATGGGGATTGTGTCAGAATTTCCTCTGCTGCAACAGCCATAGTCCCTCCAGTACTTCTGCCACATTGCAGGGCATGCAACATACATGCTTGCGCTCTTGAAACATCACTGTGTTCAGGTGGACGTAATTCCTTTCAGTATTTCAGGCGTTTTGAATGGAAAGCATGTGTATATACTAGAAAATGTATCCTAAGGTCACAGAGACACCACAAAGGGATGAGAGGAGGTATCTGACGAAATGCTGTGCAGTGTGCAGAGAACGCTACCTCTAAGCATTGTGAACACAAACCAATGCATATGCATTGGTCTATGCGCCATTTTCTCTGCTTTGTGCAAGCCACAATGATAATAGGTGCGTAGGATAACTCAGGTTGAAAGGGACATCAGAAGGTCATCTACTCCAATCTCCTGCTCAAAGCAGGGTTGGCTATGAGGTCAGACCAGATTATTGGGGTCTTTATGCAGTCAAGTCTTGGCAACATCCAATGATGAAGACTGTGCAACCTCTTTGGGCAACCTTTTCTACTGCAAGACTGTCCTTATGCTGAAAATTGTCTTCCTTAAAGTCAGCCTGAACCTCTCTTGTTTCAACTTAACGCTTTTTGCTTCTTTTCTTCCCACCATGCACCACTGTGGACATCCTGGTCCATCTTCTTGATGACCTCCTTGTTGGTACTGGGAGCTTACTAGCTCCCCCACAAGCCTTCTCTTCTCTAGGCTGAACAAGCCCTGTTTCCTCAGCCTCTCCTTATAGGGCAAGCAGTCCAGCCCCTGACCATCTTGATCCTTTGCTGAACTCACTCCCCCTTCTCTGTATTTTTTTTATATTGGGGGGAGGGAGGGTGGTGCAAAACACCGTCCACACAGTAGTCTAGATGAGGAGGTCTAATGTGCCGAGTAGAAGGGGATAATCACTCTTTCAATCTATTTTTTATGGTCCTGTCCATATTGCCCAGGTTGCCATTGACTTTCTTTGCTGCCAGGGCACACTGTTTGCCCATGTTCAGCTTAGTGTCTACCAAGATCTGCAGGTTCTTTTCAGTAGAGCTGCTCCCTAGCCTGTATCATTGCAAGGTGCAGGACTTTGCATTTGTCCTTGCTGAACTTTATCAGGTTCTTGTTGACCCATTCCTCCAGCCTGTTTAGGTCCCTCTGGATGGCAATCCTGCTCTGGAGTATATCAGCTGATCCGGTTTGGTGTAGTCTGAAAACGTGATGAATAAGCACTCAGTCACCTCCTCCAGGTCATTGATAAAGATGTTAACGCAGGACGGGACCCAGGATAGACCCCTGCAGTACTCCACTTGTTACCAGCATCCAGCAGCCTTGCAAGGACATTGCCCAATTCTCTCAGCAGTCTTGGGTGCAGCCCGTCTGGTCTCACAGACTTGTATGGGTCCAGGTCACTTGAGTAGTTTCTGATTCAAATTTCATGCACTGCACAGAGGCCTGGGAGACCTTGCTGGTGAAGACTGAAGTAAAGAAGGCACTGAATACCTTAGATTTATCTGTGTCCGCTGTCACCAAATTACCTGCCCCATTCACAAACGGTCTTACATTTGAACATCCTTGTTCAGCCTTTTACAACTAATATGCAAATAAGATTGGAAGACTTTATTGCTTTGGTCAAATTTGCTTGATCTGACTTGGTTGTAAAATACAAACATAATGCCAGTCAGCCGTGGCCCTTTGACTTTAGTAAAAGCATGGGCAAGCTAATACAAAATGTTTTTATGGTTCCAGCTTGGGATCGGGACCTAAAATTATATTTCAGTAGGTATTTTATGTATACAAGACAACAACTTGTTTGTAAAATATTTCCATTGAAAAGCATACAGAAGCAACAGTAGGATAAAATTGACATTTTGTTTTTCTTGGAAGATAATAATAAATTTTCTCAAAAGAGTATAATAGTAGCAGTGAAAAGAGGTTTAGATTATAGGCAACATTGAAATATTCCACAAGCCAAATATACTATTTAAACTTCAAAACTGAACTGAGACATAGCATTATTGTTGTCATTTGCTTTATTAATGTTTTCTAAGAATCTGTAATAAAGTAGTTTCAGAGAAGAAATGTTAATGGCATTTTCCTCGTTATTTAGATAATAGCTGAAATATCTAGCTTTTATCTAGATCCTGACTAATCTATAAGCAAATTTATTTTCCT